GAATGAAATTGTTTCTTTTGCTGCTAACTAAGACACTAAAGGACGAACTGTCTAAGCAATGACGTGGCATAGGAAAATATATATTTAATCATTAAGCCATGTTATGTGGTTGTATCTATTAATTCCTGATGGATAGATTCTGGAGCCACTAAACATATTTGCAATTCGTTGCAAGGATTTCAGGAATTCAGAAGCCTCGATGATATGGATATATATTTGTCTTTTAACCTGATTTCAAGGTTGTAGCTAAGTCAATGGGAGTATTACATATGAAATTAGAGAGTATGAGGATATTAGTATTAGAGAACTATCTTTATGCACAGAAGTTAGACGCTATCTAATTCTTGTTTCACTTGTGGTTTATAAAAACTGGATTTTTTTTTTTGTAAAACTGGTTTTATAAAATTGAATAGATATGCGATTGCTTTTACATTGAAAGATGGTTAATATACTATAATCACAAGCTCTTAAGATTTCCAGGATGTAGAAACTAATGTTGCATATTCTAAATTGAATGTTAAGAGAAAATTTGTTATTCCTGACTCATTGTATTTTTAGTGTCTATTTTTGGGTTGTAATCAATTAAAATGAGATTCAAAGATTGGTCAAAGAAGACTTATTACCTAGTGAGGCAGAGGAGCCTAAACCAAACTTATGAATCCTGTTTTGAAGGATAGATAACTCTAAGGGCTTAATTAGCCAAATAAAATAGATATAAAGAACAATTGGAGTCGGTACACACAGACACGTGTGGTCTTATGAACATCCAAGCAAGTTTACTCACGTTTTGGATAAATTTATATGATGCGACACAAGTCTTAAATTTTTGGTATTTTCCGAAAGTGTCAAGACTGACGTGGAGTACAGATTAGGTAAACTTATCAAAACACTTCGATTTGATCGTGGATATGAGTATTTCTTGGGATAGTGCAAAGACTATATGGTCAATGAGAGTGTTGCGTACTAGTTTTCCGCAATTGACACTAAATTGATTTAGGTGTCAAATAAGAATAACAAAATTCCACTTAACATGGTTAGATCTATGATCAATTATGCTACATTATCTTTTTCATTTAAGAGTTTAGCTTTAATGATATCGATACGTATTATGAACTGCATTCCATCTTAGTCTGTCTCAAGGATATCTTTTGAGCTGTGTTTTTGACTAAATCTTAGTTTGAATCACATGCACATATGGGGTAGTCTTGCACATGTGCGCTTGATATGGACAAGTAAGTTAGAAACAGATCATACGCATGATAGATTTGATAGCTACTCTAAAGTCACTAGGATGGATTATTTTATAATCTCAATGATAAAAGTTGATTGTTTACACTCACTCTTTATCTATAGGAGAATCATATTATGAATCACATACCTAGTAGCATAATGTTAGAGAATATGGTATGAGTACCAGATGTACCACATATGAACACATTTATTATAGAGATTGAGAATAATATATAAATTCCCTATTGATGCGTCAACGTCATCTAGTACATAGATTCCTGCATCAGTACATTGATGTAGTGGGAGGATTATCATCCAATCCGACAGAATCATGTTTTTAGGTGAGACCGTTATGGACATCCCTGTTAAACATGAGTTGGACCCAGTAAGCTACACGGAAGTGTGAACCGACATGGATACAGATCGTTTTGGCGAGTTACTATGAAATCAGAGTTGGAATCTATGTATTCTAATAAATTCTGGGATCTTGTAGAACTTTCTAGTAGGGTGATACCTATGGAAGGCAAGTTAATCTACAAAAAGATACCAGAAGATTTCTTAGTGAATAAAACATAAGTGTACAAGGGAATGTCATTATTTTTCTAATTCTATATATATTGTTGACATCCTACTCATTTATAATGACGTGGAAGTTTTGTCATCAATAAAAAGGTAGTTGTTCAATTACTTTTAAATAAAGGATCTTTAAGATGTAAGCTATATTCCTAGGATCAAGTTTTTGCAAGATCATGTTAAAAGGAAAATAGGCTTATCTTAATAATCCTACATTGATAAAGTTTTGACCAGGTTTGGTATGCATAACTTAAAGAATGAGTTCTTACTTTATTGATATGGATTGCTCTATCTAGTAAGTAGTTTTCCAAGACTAGCAGAGAAGATTGAGCAAATGAGACTGGAACTATATGCTTTGGCATATGGGAGTCTCATATATGCCATCATCTATACCAAAAAGGACATTCGCTACATTGTAGGGATAGTCAAATGATATCAGTCCAATCTTGGACTTGATAACTGGTCCGTTGTGAAAAATATCATTAAGTACCTAAGGAGAATCAATGATATCATACTCATTTATGGATGTGATGATATGGTCCTAGTCAGTTATGCTAGTTCTGATTTTCAATCAGAAGTAAATACTATGAGGTTCATGACTCAGTGTATGTTCACTCAATGGAAGGGAAATCAGTTAGTAGATTGTTAAGCAGATTTTAACTACTGACTTAAATCTGTAGGTGGAGTACATTGCAGCTTTTAAGGCGGCAATGAAAGCCTTTTTGGTTTGATCTCACTGATTTAGAGGTTGTGGAGTATACTAGGCCGCCTATCGAACTATATTGCGACAACAGTGCAGAAGTAGTCCTAACTAATGACCCAAGGTTCCATAGAGGAACAAGATACACTGAGAGGAAGTATCATGTTCTACATGATATTGTCCGGCAAGAAAATATACTCATGGCTAGAACATTGTATTGGAACACAACTTTGTTGATCCATTAACAAAGGTGTCTTTGATCAATAATTTTGATTGTCATCTAGATAACATTGGAGTTAGATGTAATTTGAATTGGCTATGAGGACAAGTGGGAACTGTTGGGATTTATATGCCCTGGCATAGCAAATTCCTATCTGGATTATAATGACATATGTTCTTGACGTTTCTGAAATATTTATACTTTATACAATTGGTGAATTCAATGTATTATGTTTCGATTCATTATAGAATTGAAAGTGTCCACTTGATTATAAGAGATATTTATATGTGTATGTGATGGCGATCAATACATGATTATAAATAGTAATCATAAATTGTTCATAGTCAGTAATTATGGATGGACTCATAATTAATTAAGACTTAAACTGGATCTGCGTTAGGTTGAGATATATTGTGAGAGCCGTCGTATGCAATTACTCCTTATCACCGTCATGGCATTTAACTCTTAAGCATGAGAAAAGTATAGACTCTTTTATTAATTAATAATTACTTTGATTTGTTCGGCGGATTCTTCGGGATCCTTAGACCGACACTTTAGGTAGTTATGTAATTAATAGTTAGAGGATTATATTCTCAATATTTGCATCATTACTACTTGTATTTATTTTGTATTGATTATGGTTGATTACAAAGTAAATTCGAAGGCCTTCGTATGTTTTTAGATAAAATGATTTATTATATATTTATTTATTTAAATTATTATTTTTGTCAAACAAATGTTTTATTGTGATCGAGCCAGAAATAATCAAAGGTACCAAAATAAATATATTAATTAAGTAGTCGGATTGATGGCTTTATTTATCCGATAACTAATTATGAATAGAGGGGTCAAAGTGCAATATTGACTTAGAGGTTATTTATTATTTAATTGGAGTTCAATTAATTTCTTTTAGTGGAGTAGAAATTAATTTATAAATTTATTGAATTGGGTTCATGGATCAGGCCAATTATTAATTCATTATAGCCAATAAAATAATAAGCCCAAAGGATTCTCACTCATAGCCCAACTTGATATTAGAATCCTATTAGATTTGAGACATGTGAATTAAAGATTGAGTAGGAGTTATTGTTTCCTTTTCTTTATCTTTATGATTGCTTATATATACATGGTCTATGTATATTTTAGGGGTAATTTTTAGTAGAAGAAAAAAAAAGGAATATATTTTTTCTCTCTAGAAAATTAGGGTTTATGTGCTCATCTAATGGAGGTTCCCACAAGCCTAATTTTCCAAGGTCATTCATAGAGGCTTATGAGTGATTCCTAAAAGCAAAACAATTACCAAGAAGATGGAAATCCAAGGAGAAGGCATCTTTCTAAGGGATCTACAATAAGTGAGAACATTCATTTTAGAGGAAAGATTTAAAGGTTTACTCAGACCTTTGATATAAGTATTCAATCCATTAATTGAATGATACATCATATTTTTATTTTTGCATAAAACTTGTTTTTATATGATGAATCAAGATCTATGAATCAAAATTCCTCGAAAAGTTTTTAAAACTTGCACATTTCCCAACAGCAATTAGGTTTGGAAATATAGTTTTGATTTTCAAAAGCTAATGTGATGCATTTGCACATTTCAATATCTATTGAGTGGATTCCGGATTAAATAATTAGACATTTAAATATAGTTTTGATTTTTAAAGACAAATAGGACGCATTTGGACATTTCAATATCTATTGAGCTGATTCTGAATTGAATAATTAAACATTTAACTAATCAATCTGAAAATGAGTTTGTAGTATAGTCAGAATTTTAGTGTGCATGAGTTTTCGAAACTATATAAGATCTTGAAAATTTTAATTAATTATAAGAAAAACAATTGATTTGTAGTCCTCTCTTTATCATATTTATAAAAGAGTAGGAGAAAATCACACCTTTTTATGAAATCATGACTCATGGCCAATGATGGAAAACAATGCTACCTCTCACCCCACAAAGATTAGGGAAGCTAGCAACACAACAAACACCAACCTCTTACACATGCACCAAAAAAAAAAAAAAAAAAGACGCACCAAAAAATATATAAAAAAGATAGTGTAATATTTTAGAAAAAAACTTATTTTTTCTTAGTCTTTACTCACATACTTGTTTCTTTCGAGACTTAAACTCCTGATCTCTCTTTAGGAGATAAAAAAACTGATACCGTTAAACCACTGACGTGTTAGTTAGAAAAGAACTTACATCCAATGTAATATATCAACCAACAAAAATACATACATACATATATATATATATATATAATATTGTTGTAATTAAGATGGTGGAGTTGGCATTGGTGAATTTTTTAGGAAATGCTGAAACAAGATAAATCCTAGTCGAGGACGAACCAGTGGAACTTCATGTCCTGCTCCCCTCACAACCACAAAGGTCAGCCCATCGTATATTTGGCTCCACCCACCAACCTATATATAATAGCCAACAAAACCATACACAACAAAAATTCTCATTTACTACCACTTAGAACTATATTTTGTTATAAATACATACACGTGTAATATATATATATATATATATATATATATATATATATCGATTTTAAAGAATAATTACTAACCTGTAGTTCTGCGTCACTGTAATCGTACCAGGCATACCAATTCTTAATGGCCTTTAGATTTAAGGCTCTGATGGAATATCGAGTTGAAGTTAATGGAACTGCAAGATCCGTGTCACCACTATTTGTAGAGTTCAACGTTAGCATAATGATATTGAGGCCGAATAGTTTGAATAAATAAGAAGTCCGAACACTCATTCAATAGATACACATAACTGAGTCTCATGTTACTCCTAATTGAGTAGCGTATGTAACGGATGAAAAGCCTTACGTTCTTCAAATTGTTCAAACTCTTTAACTTTAAAATTATTATTGATAAATTAGAAGTATTAAATAAATAGAGAGAGAGAGATGAATATTGTCCTCTTTTAATAATTGAACATTTGAAGTTCTACTAGGAAAAAGGGATTACCTGTGTACCCAGATCCTGAAACCAGCTGCTATAAGTTCTTTAAATATAGGAAGCACAGAACTTGAAGAATCTGAATAGTTACCTCTAACAGCAGAACTGTAAAGATTGATATAATCAACTTGTTATTAATGCATTCTTATACTACGTACTATTAAATATTTGGAGTACTATGAGAAGAAAATTGGTTTGGAAAGTAAACCAAACAAAAATATTTAATCAAACTTGGAAGTTATTAAAATATTGAGGGTTTGTTTGGTTTACGTACTTTTTAAAAAAAATAGTTTTTTATTTTAAGAGAATTAAAAAATAGAAAAATAAAAAAAAAAAAAAAATTGTTTAGTTAATTCTTTTCTAGAAGCCGTTTTCCAAAATTAGAGTTTGTTCACATTGTTGGCTGTAGTTTCAACCAACTAAATAAATTCTAAGTGAAAAGAGGAGAAAAATTAGTAAACAAATATTTTTTGTATTGTATTGAACTCTTTGTTTTTGTGTTGATCTCTTAACAACAAATACCTTACCCTATATATACTATTCTCCTATAGACTTTTGAACTTTTCAAGACAATCTTAACCACACACATGATACATGCACTCACTTGATACATGTACACTCTTAATACATGTATCCACTTGATACATGTACAATAACAGATGCATGAATGAACATATACATGAATGAACATGACATTAATTATTTTTAACACACCCCCCTTAATGTCATGTTGTGACACCCAACAATTCTCTAAAGTATTCAAACTTATTTTTTGGAAGTGCTTTGGTAAAAATGTCCGCAACTTGGTCTTCTGTCTTACAATACTTGAGTTGAATCTCTTCATTCTCCACGGCTTCTCTAATGAAGTGATGCTTGATTGCAATGTGTCTTGTGCGACTATGGAAAATAGGATTCTTTGTCATAGCAATTGCGTATTTGTTGTCACATAAAATTGGAGTAGCTTCTCTTTGCTTCTCACCAACATCTTCAAAAATTCTCTTTAGCCATATTGCTTGTGACGCTGCCATTGATGCTGAAATATACTCAGCCTCGGCAGAAGATTGTGCCACCGTTTCTTACTTTTTAGATGCCCATGAAAATACACCCAAACCAAGAGAGAATGCATAACCGGAAGTACTTCTCATATCATCAATACATCCGACCCAATCACTATCACAAAAACCAAACAACTTTGCATCAACATTTTTCTCATACAAGATGCCAAAATCAAGTGTACCTTGTATATATCTCAACACCCTCTTTGCAGCCCCAACATGAATTTGACTTGGATTGTGCATAAACCTAGATAATAAGCTTGTAGCATACATGATGTCGGGGCTTAAAGATGTCAAATATAATAGGCTTCCAATTAAGCTTCTATAGAGAGATGCATCCACTTCTTTACTTCCAACTTCTTTCATCAATTTTTCATTCACAACCAATGAAGTGCAAACGGATTTGCAATTCAACATTTTGAATTTTTCAAGAAGAGTTTTTGCATACTTCTTTTGACATATAAAAACTCCTCATTCTTTTTGATAAATTTCAATGCCCAAGAAGTAATACAACAAGCCCAAATCACTCATTTCATATTTTTTCATCATCTCTCTTTTAAAATCATTGATCATTTTTTAATCACTACCGGTAAATACCAAATCATCAACATAAAGAGAAACAATAAGAATCCCAGTTTTACCTTGTGTCTTGTAGTACAAGGTTGGCTGACTTTTGCTCCTTTGAAAGCCTTTTTTGATGAAGTAAGAATCAATCTCACTATACCATGCCTGGGGTGCTTGTTTTAGGCCATACAAAGCCTTCTTTAATTTGTAAACTTTCTCTTCTTCTCCTTTTGTAACAAAGCCTTGAGGTTGTTCTACATAGGCATCCTCTTTCAAAACACCATTCAAGAAGGCTGATTTTACATCAAGTTGATACAAAGACCAACCATTTTGAGCCGCCAAGGCAATGAGTGCTCTAATTGTGTCAAGACGAGCCATGGGTGAAAAAGTTTCTTCAAAATCAATTCCGGGCTGTTGTGAATACCCTTTTGCTACAAGTCTTGCTTTGTTCTTTTGAATGGAGCCATCCGGATTGAATTTTGTTTTAAAAATCCATTTCACACCAATCACATCTTTGTCTTCTGGCTTCTTTACTAACTCCCAAGTCTTGTTTTTCTCAATCACATAAATTTCATCTTCCATAGCTTTCTTCCATACCTCTTGTTTAATTGCTTCTTCAAAGTTCTTCGGTTCAACAACACAAAAATTGCAACTTGCATACACATCACTTAGACTTTTCATTCTTCTTGGAGTTGAACTTGGAGATAAGGAATTTGAGTTTGATGGAGAAGTTGGGATTGATTGTAAGCTAGATATGGGAGACATTTCTTGTGGAACTTCAAGAAAATCTTCATTTTCATTTTCTTGATTTCCTGATTCTTCATTGAAAATGGGGATTTAATCTTGAACTTTCTTCTCTTTCCAATCCCAAGCAGCCTTCTCGTTAAAGAGAACATCTGTACAAATAATCAATTTATTCTTCTTCAAATTAAAGAGTCTACAGTCCTTTGTTTTTGAGCTATAACCCACAAAAATGCATTTTTCACTAGCTTCATCAAGTTTGTGCCTCACTTCTCTTGGAACATAAGCAAAACAAATACACCCAAAAACTTTCATGTGGTTCAATGATGGCTTCCTTCCACTCCATGCTTCAAATGGAGTTTTATTCTCCACTACTTTTGTTGGACTCCTATTCATCAAGTAAATAGCCGTATACACGGCTTCACCCCAAAATGATTTAGGTAGCCCTTTCTCATGTAGCATTGATTTTCCCATCTCAATGATTAATCTATTTTTTCTTTCTTCCACTCCATTTTGTTGTGGAGTGTACCCAACCATTAATTGCCTTTCCAAGCCAATATCTTCACAAAACTTTTCAAACTCGTTTGAGTTTTATTCTCCACCTCTATCACTTCTTAACACTTTGATAAGATGGCCACTTTGCCTTTCAACAAGCCTTTGAAATTTTTTGAAAATAACACATCTGATTTTTGTCTCATGAAATAAATCCACGTCATTCTTGAAAAATCATCAACGAAAATAATAAAATACTATTACCCGCTTGAGTTGGTGTTGTCATCGGTCCACACACATCGGTATGAACAAGCTCCAATGGTGTTTTAGCCCTCCATGCCTTCTCTTTTGGAAATGACTCTCGGTGATGCTTGCCAAGAGCACAACCTTCACAAACTTCTTTAACTTCTTGTATTGTTGGCAGCCCATACACCATGCTATTTTGTTGTAAATTCTTTAAGCTTTGGAAATTCAAATGCCCAAATCTTCTATGCTAAAGCCATTACTCATCAACAATATCCAACTTTAAGGCCATATTTTTTTAACATGAAAAAGTGAGAGGAAAGCTTCTATTTTTACCCATCTTTATTTTTGCCACAGTATGATTTTGTCCTCCCTTGTCATAAATTTTGCAAGAGTCCTCATTAAAATGAATGAAGTATCCATGCTTTACAAGTTGTCCAACACTTAACAAATTTTGCTCCAAATCCGGAACAAGTAACACATCCCGAATATGCTTTCTTCCTTTTTTTGTCTCTATGGCAATATTACCTTTTCCCTTTGCTTGGACCAAGGCACCATTTCCCATCCTCACTTGAGAATTTGATGAAGAATAAATCTCCAAGAATATATTTTTATCTCCAGTCATGTGGTTACTACACCCACTATCAAGAAACCACACATCATCCTTTTGTTCTGATGTCATGTGACAAGCATAAAACATGCTCGCTTCACCTTCTTGCTCTTTGGAAAAATTAGCTTGCTAATTTGTTTTCAACCGGCAATCTTTTTGAACATGTTCAAATTTCTTGCAATTGAAACATTGAGGTTTTACCCGAAACCAACAATCTTTGTCAACATGGCTACTTCTCTTGCAAATTTCACAATTTTGTTGAGTGGACTCTATATTTCCACTTCTCTCAAAATTATTTCTTCCTCTTCCTCTTGAATTTCTTCTTCTTCCTCTTCCGTGTCTTCCACCTCTAGAAGATTCACTTTTGGATCGATCAAAACTGGATGGGTATTTTTCTTGATTTTTGGAACTAACATTGAACTTGGATTGAAAAGCACTTTCAATTGTCTTTTCGGAGCGCCTATTCAACCTTTGCTCAAATGCTTTAATGGAACCCATCAATTCTTCAACACTCAAGTTTTCAAACTCTTTAGTCTCTTCAATAACAGCAACAATAGAGTCATATTTTTCTGGCAAACTAATTAGAATTTTTTCAACAATTCTTTGATTAGAAATTTCTTCCCCATAGGTCTTCATCTGATTTACCACCTCCATAAGTTTAGAAAAATAATCTTTCAACAACTCCATTTCTTTCATCTTTATGTTTTCAAAATCTCTTCTCAAAGATTGGAGTTTTACAGTTCTTACCTTCGTGCTGCCTCTATACTCCTTCTCGAGGATATCCCATGCCTCCTTTGCTTTAGAAGCATTGATAATTCTGAGAAAGATTATATCAGCAAATCCTTGTTGAATCAAGCCTAAAGCTTTTGCATCTCTTTTTTCTTGTGATCTTTCAATTGTTGTTTTTGGGCATTCGTCAAAGTTGTTGTATCCTCCGGTTCCTCATACTCATCTTCAACATAATCCCATAAATCATATGAGAGAAAAATGGTCTTCATCTTCACATACCAAAAATCATAATTTTCCCCATAAAAAATGGGAAGTGTTGATTGATGGGCACCTTGGTTTTGATTGCCTATAGTCGCCATCACGATCGATCTTCTTCGGGGTTTGTTTTCCCGTCAATAAGCTTCACGCCCAGTTTGCTCTTAATCGAAATCAAGCTCTGATACCACTTATGTTGGCTGTAGTTTCAACAAACTAAATAAATTCTAAGTGAAGAGAGGAAAAAAACAAATATTTTCTGTATTGTATTGAACTCTTTGTTTTTGTGTTGATCTCTTAACAACAAATACCTTAGCCTATATATACTATTCTCCCATAGACCTTTGAACTTTTTAAGACAATCTCAACCACACACATGATACATGCACTCACTTGATACATGTACACTCTTGATACATGTATCCACTTGATACATGTACAATAACAGATGCATGAATGAACATATACATGAATGAACATGGCATTATTTATTTTTAACACACATTTCAAAAATAAATGAGATTGCTATACAAGATGAAAGAATGTACATGCAAACTTACTTGCAAGTTGTGTATGGATGAGGTATCTTTGCACTGTTTACATGAAGAGCCTTTTGCACATTCGACCTATTCAAATACATTTTTGTGTACTTCACAATGCAAGTCCCGTCGTTTCCTCCAAACCTCCAACGCTATTTTCCAACATGATGTTATGTCAATATTTATATGTGTGGTGTGTGTGTGTGTGTGTGTGTGTGTGTGTATGTATATTATATATATACATACACTACATACAACAAGAACTTACCAGTGGACTCAAGTTATACCCAACAGTCCCAGCTTCCTCGCAATATCTGCTATAGAGGCTGTACTGATTAATGTTCCCAGCCTCAAGACTGGTGAGATACAAAGCTCGGTAACAGTTCTCGCTAGCATGTATAAACGATTCATTTGAACAAAACTTGATTACTGCCTCATATATAGAATCAGATATCAAACCATGGTTCCACCAGAACTCATACGTGCCAATAAAGTTGTAATAGTCATCAAAAAGGGCATTGCCTACCTGACATATTATACAGAAGGTTAAGAAGATTTTAAAATGGATATGTCAAAAAAAATAATAATAATAAGTGTTAATAATGTATATTAAATGTTGCATACTATATACACTAACTTACCAAGAAACCTTTGAAATTAATAATGGGATTCTTGATGCCTTTGTTCATACGCACTATACGTTGAGATAGCTGAGGAACGTAATGGCCTGTATAATTAAAGATGATTATATATATATATATACACACACACACACACGCTTATATGTATATGAAAATAAATTAATTAACAAACAAGCTGAATTAAAATATATATGCTGTGATTAAGCACTCAAGTTCTGGAAGCTTCTATTTATTTATTTTTTATTTTTTATTTTTTATTTTTTATTTTTTATTTTAGTTAAAAGGTAAGCTTTAATAAATAAAAATAGAATGTACAAGAACAGCCCAAAGCACAAGGCAGCCATACAACCAAGAACATACAACAATAACCCACCAACTTCAACAAGTTTAAAACCTCCACCTGAACAGCCTAAACACATATACTGACCCCACATAGTATACAATGAACTAACTAATCAGCAAGACACCATGTCTGTCCTCCTGCAAAGGAGTAGCCTTGCAAAAACAACTGTAAGAAGCTCTCCTATGATCCAACCATTGTGAGATAACTACCATCCCTTAGTGTCAAAGATACAAGCTTAGCTCAAACATAACTTTTAATTAGGCAAATGATGTGATGAGGGGAAGAAGCTTTGTTTCTAAAGGCCTTTGCGTTCCTCTCCAATGAGATATAGTAAATTACAGCACTGAAAAGCAATTTGTGGATGAAAAACTTTTGTGAGGACCATGAGGCAGAACACCACTAGCTGTCCGGCAAAATATGCTACATGTTGTATAAACAAGCAAATATGAGCACTGAAGCTGCAATTAAAGAAAATATGGTCCAAAGATTCATAGTCAGCAAGGCACATGAAGCATCTGTTAACATAGTGCTTGCTCTTCATTGGCTTTGAATCAAGTGTGAACAATCTACCTCTGTAGGCTAGCCAAGCAATCACAGTATGTTTTGGAATATTGTTCTTAAACCAAAGCAAATAAGCCCATGTAAAGGAAATTGAGGGAGGGGTGAGGTACTTGATGGTATATGCTAGTGAATAAATATTTGTGGGACTCGGAATCCAAATCACAATGTTCCTCTCAGCAGAAGGCATAGAGAGAGAATGTAGCTGGGATGTGAACCTATGTGAATTGAAGACCTGCAAATGCTGTAGTGATGGTGGGATCACCCACTGAGTGGTGGAAATTAGGCTATCAACTGTGATACTTGGATCTAGTTGAAGAATTTCCACCTCAAATAGGTTAAGTTGTGAGCAAAGTGGTCCATCTGGTAACCAATAGTTAAGCCACATCATAGTATCAGTGTCTGTCCCTATTTTGTGCTTGATCAACCCCCTAGCCATCCCTCTCAATTTGAGCAGCCTCCTCCAAAACCTAAAACTTAGTGCAGTAACTTTGACAATCCAAACAAACCTTGCCTTGATGAGGTATCTGTGAGCCCATGCAACCTAAAGGGAATCCTTCCCAGCAAACAAATTCCAAATATGCTTCAGACTCGTAATTAAATTGACCATTTTAAGATCTGGAAAGCCTAAGCCTCCCAAACACTTCTGCCTACAAATAGACACCCAAGCCACTTTAGCTCCTCTCTTCCTTAGTTTAATACCAGACCAGAAAAAGGCTCTGAGAAGCCGATTGACCTATTCAATCACCCCTTTTGGGAGAACAAATGAATGAGCCCAATAAGAATTAATGGAACATAGGATAGACTTAATGAGAACTGCCCTCCCAGCATGGGATAAAAATCTTGAGGTCTAGCTACCAATTCTTGCTGTAATCCTATGAACCAGTGTTTGGAAATCCCTAGCTTTGATTGATGTTGAAGAAAGTGGCAAACCAAGGTAAGTGACTAGAAGTGATCCAATATTACATTGCAACAAGGAGAGAATTACACCCTTTGTAATGTGGTCCATCCTAGTGAAGAAAACCAAACTCTTACTGCAATTAATTGACAACCCTGAGCAATTGAAGAAACCCTTCATAGCTGAGACCAAAATTTGAACAGAAACAAGGTTCCCATATAAGAACAAAAGCAAATCATTAGCAAAAAATTATATGTGTAAGGGAGATCTTGCTGCACCTCAAGTGGAACTTAAATGTGGGATTTAGGATAATAGCTTGGTTTATGGACAATGTAAGGACTTTCATAGCAATAACAAACAGCACAGGGGATATGGGGTCCCCTTGCCTAAGGCCTCTCTTCCCTTTAAAGAAACCAAACAACTTTCTATTCAAGGATAGGGAATAAGATGGTGTGGTGATGCATTGTGTAATCCAATGGACAAATAAACTTGGAAAGCCAAACAATGACAGAGCATCCAAAATGAACTGCCAATGGACTGAATCAAAAGCTTTTCTAAGATCCACCTTAATGGTACAGTTGGGGGCATGTGAGGCTCTATGATAACCATTCAATAGTTCATGTGCCATAATAATGTTTTCAGTGATGCATCTCCCCTTAACAACTACATTCTGAGTAGTGCTAATGATTGAAAGGAGTACACTGCTGAGTTTGGTAGCTAAAAGCTTGGAAATGCACTTATATAAGATGTTACAACATGATATGAGCTTGAAATCATTGACTGAAGTTGGGTTTGCTATTTTGGGAACCAAAGCTATATAGGAACAATTGATCTCTAAGAGCATTCTACCAAGAGTGAAGAAGTTTTTAACTGTAGCAATAATGTCACACCCAATGATGCTCCAAGCATGCTTAAAGAAACATGCATTGAAACCATCAGGGCCCGAACTCTTAAAGGGATTGAAGGATAACATGCACTTTTGTATATTAATGTCTGAGGGGATAGCACTGAGATCATGTAGTAGGTGGTTTAGGACAGTCTTAGAGGTCATCCTAGAGAAAGAAGCCATACCTGGGTAAACAGAATGACATTGGCCTAAAAGATTCTGGAAATGATTGAGCAAGGCATTCTTCAGCTCATGACCCTATAATACACCACCATGGGGATCCTCAAATGACATAACCTTCCTTCTAGTAGCTTTAGATGAGAAACTTCTCATGAAAAAGGCTGTGTTCTGATATTCTTCTTTCAACTAATGAATTTATGCCTTCTATTTAAAGAAAGTCTCCTCTGCAAGACACATTGTAGAGAAATTGGAAGCAAGGTCTTTCTCAATCAACCTCAATTAATCATCTGCAAGATTTAGATCAAGATTCCTCTGACACTGGTACAGCTCATTCCTGCAGGCCTCAACCCTTTGTGAGATAGAACCAAACTCATCCTTGTTCAGAAGTCTGAGTGGAAACTTAAGTGCCCTAAGTTTTTTAACAACACAATACATCTTTGTACTAATCACCTCCATCTGCCATCCTTGAGCCACGATGTCAAAAAACTTAGGGTTGAGGGTCCAGAAGTCGAAAAATCTAAAAGGGATGATTCTTCTAGGAGATAAAATACCCAACATAACCATTATGGGTGAGTGATCTGAGATCCATATGGTAGAAAATTGCATTCAGCTTAGGGGAAACAAATTCATCCATACATGATTAACTAAAACTCTATCCAGCTTTCGAGAAATGTTAGCACACCCAAGACTGTTATTTGTCCAGCTAAAGAAAATCCCAGTAAACTTTAAATCCTCAAGCTCATTTTTATGTAAACACTGCCTAAACTCAAGCATACCCTCTGTCCATCTCAAAGCATTCCTAAATGATTCATTCACATGGAATAGTACATTGAAGTCACCCAATAGAATCCAAGGCATACTAGGGTCACATTGTTGATTTATACTTCTCCATAGAGGTTTTCTTTCCACTACAATATTAAAAGCATAAACAAAAGAAGCCATACATTTGACCTTAAGATCCTTGAGTAAAATTGAGCAGTGTATATCTTGACTAGTTTCAGTAGAAGACAACAGGGACGACACTGCAGGGTTTTAAAGAATCCACACTCTACCCATAACAGATGTTGTATAATTACATCTAATTAAGCATGATGGAGCAATTACTTTATGGATGCCATTGGCATCCAAATTCACACAACTAACTTTAGTTTCAAAAAGTGCAATGAGACTTAACTCAAAATCCCTAATTAGCTTCCTTATCTCTACTTGCTTGAGGGGAGAGTTCAACCCTCTAATGTTCCATGCTGCCCAAATCATTGAGAAGATGAAGATGTGAGGCTCCTCTACCCTCTAAACCCCTTAAGGGTGACCCATTAGTTGCCACTTTGACTTTATGCATCCCAATCCTACTATTTTTCTCAGACTTGGAGTGTTTGGAGTGCACTGGCTTCCTAGGTTTGGCTGCTTTGTTCAAAACTGGGGAGTATGTAGGACCATAAGAACTTGAGTTGGACTTGGAGACATCTTGTTCCTCCTCAAAATCAGCCAACTCTTCAATAACATCCTCTTGCACTCCTTCTAGAGAGCACTCATTCATATTCAAACCCCCAAGAGCTGCAAAATTATTGGAGGTTGCAATGGTCTGAGGGACAATCATGAAATCAGACAATGTAGCCCTTTTAGGTCTTGAAATGGGCTCACATTAAGGTAAGGTTGGAGCTTCAGTGGCTTTCTTGTGGGGGGAGAGGTCAACCACAAGGGAGATGGCTTTCTTTTTGTCTAGTTTACAAGCCACTGGATTCTCCAACTGCTAGCAGGTGTTTATGGAAGTGGGATAGGGGGGTTGTGAACCACACCCTGCATTCCCATTCCTGGTTCCTTGTAGCAAACAATCTCCTTTGATATGGAAGTCAGAGCCTACGGATTAACTGAAATACCTTCTGCAAAAGGGTTGGTGATAGGGAAGCAAACAGCAGTCTCAGAGTTACTTTTTTTCCTTTTAACCAATTCCCATGGTTGGCCAGAGTTATCAACAGAAACCTGGTTTCCCTCAACATTGCTCAACCCTTTGTTACCACAGTTGTTCATACACACTATAAGTTGAGATAACTGAGGAATGTAATGACCTGTATAATTAAAGATGATTATATATATATACACACACACACACATACGCTTATATGTATATGAAAATAAATTATTAATTAACAAACAAGCTGAATTAAAATATATATGTTGTGATTAAGCACTCAAGTTCTGGAAGCTTTTATTGTTATAATGA